CCAGCAGGGCTGTAGCTGCAGGAACAGGGGCTGGAGCGGCAGCAGCAGGGGCTGTAGCGGCAGCAGCAAGGGCTGTAGCGGCAGCAGCAAGGCTGTAGTGGCAGCAGCAAGGGCTGTAGCGGCAGCAGCAAGGGCTGTAGCGGCAGCAGCAAGGGCTTTAGCTGCACCAGCAGGGGCTGGGGCGGCAGCAGCAGGGGCTGTAGCGGCAGCAGCAAGGGCTGTGGGGGCAGCAGCAAGGGCTGTAGCTGCACCAGTAGGGCTGTAGCTGAAGTAGCAGGGGCTGGAGCGGCAGCAGCAGGGGCTGTAGCGGCAGCAGGAGGGGCGGTAGAGGCACTAGCAGGGGCTGTTGCGGCGGCTGGCAGCAGCGGCTGTAACAGCAGTAGCCTCTACAGCAAGGCAAGGGTGGCAGCAGCAGCTGCTGAGTGGCGCAGCAGTGGGCAGCGCAAGGCAGAGTAGTGCGTGCAGGTAGAGCAGTAGCAGGCCAGGGCAGGGTAGCGCGCATGTGGGCAGGGCAGGGCAGGCGCACGGGGCAGGGCTCACGCGCGCGGGCAGGGAAGAAACCGGGCGCACACATATGTTTTGACAAGGTTTAACCGTAACTGCTGTTGCGGTTCGATATAGCGACGACTCGGGTAACTGCTCAATAGCGAGTCAGTTATGTGTCCTTGCTGTCGCGCTGCTTTTCGGCGAGTCAAAGGTCGCTGACCTTTGACCTTCACTTAACCTCTTGCTGTTGTGTTTCTATCAATCGTTTTGGTTGACTCGCTGTTACTTCGTTGTAGTTCGCTTCGCTTGTGTTGTAGTGTTCGACACTTCAGAAGCGCGAACTATATGTTTCCAACAGTTTTTAGTGACTGAATCCATGACCCCACTTACCAAGCCCGTCAGGATACTCGATACAGTTACCTTACCGTACACATTCCGTCATCGCGCGGATATAAGACATATATGTCTTATCTCATACACTAAAAAAAATGCTTGGGTTATCTTGTATTTGGGGAGGTTTTGGGTGTCTTATAGGTCTTATAAATGGAAACATTTTTAAACTACTTAGAAATACTTTCACGCATCTTCAAAAGAGTTTCTCATTAAGAGTGTGGATATTGCGAAGGTGCCACTTCGGCAACCATTGTTCGGGGCGCCACGTCATCCCGAATACTTGCAGAGGCAAAATTGGTAGTTCATGAGTCAGCACGTGGCAGAATTCGCGTGTCGCAAGGGTAAAAATGTACGCGGTATTTCATTTTTCACTATAATACATTGCAATTTCTATTATAAGACACATATGTCTTATCTCGTACACACAAATAGGTGTCGTATAAAAAGGCTAGCCTGTTTATAAGAGACACCCGTATAATAGACAACCCCTGTCTACTATTCAACACTGTCTTATATCCGGGTGATGACGGTTTGTTTTTTACCATTGACGTTATCGAGTCACATGATGGTTACTTGTGGCATGCTTTTCCGTCTTGAGAGACTTTGAAGCACAGAACACTATGCTGTAATATATATATCTCACGCATATATATGCATTTTTCTATGTCTGTTGACAGTAGAGGAAGGAATATAATGATGACCAAATAACTGCTCTGAAGAAGTTTCATCTTGTAGTTTCACTGGGGGAGCAAGGCAATAGTTCCTCGAGCTCATAAGCGTTCTGTGTACCTTTGACCTTCACAGCAAGCACTGTAGCCACTGCCAGAATGAGCTTTAGTGGCGTTTATGAACAGATTATTGCAGATGCAAATGCAGTAGGGCCCACACATATGGAAGGGAAGTCTACCATTTCAAACTAAAAAGGGCTTCTACGAAACGACCGTGCCGTTGTCTGGTACGTCTTGATTAGAAGACCCACGCCTATACCCACTCCTATGCACATGCCAAGTCCAAGACCCACACCAACCCTCACTCCAGCATTGAACCAGGAAAGCTCGCCATTTCCCTCCTCATTTTCAGCATAGCCTGCAGGGAGATCGTAGAATCCTGGAAACTGGCTCGGCTGCTTCTCAGAACCATTGTAATTTTCCTGTATGAACAAATCAGGGGCAGTGGAGGAAGAAATTGACAATTGAGAGATGGAAGTTTGACTAAAGGCAGACGGAGTGACAATTCATACTCTCCAGAACACGGATAACATACAACACACTGAAAACCGCAGCGGACAAGAAATACAGTACATAACGAGACGGAAAGAAGCACTAGGTGGAGGGTAAAAGGCAAGAGGGGGCGAGACGGGTGCGGGAGGGGGGTTGGGGTGGGAGGGGGAGTGGGGAAAGGGGGAAGAAAGCCGGGTCACAGGTAAAAAACCAGAACCAAAACATGATTATGCCTCGCACCTGAAAAACGACGACTTTCCGCTGATCCTCGTCGAGAGCCGCCGTCCTGGCATGCATCCGGTCGGGTTCCTCAACCTCGGGAATTGCGTCCAGACCTGCCTTCCAGTGGTTCTTCCGCCTGGCGGTCAGTTGCACCGTCTCCGTCAGCATGACCGGCAAACCGTCACACCTGCCGACTATGCAGATCTCCATAGACGGCTGAACTGCGTGATCCGACAGCTCTTGAACCGACTTGACGGCAAACCCGCTCCAGGAACTGCTAGTGGTGCAGGAGCATTCAAGCGTCCACTGACCTTCCAACGGTAACCCTCGTTCAGGTAATACGGGTAAGCCTAAAACCGTCTCCTCCAATGCCTGTCTGGGTCGTAGATTGAGCGAGCAGGCGACCAGTTGTTCCCCTTCATGAAAGATATCAAAAGAGAGAGTTCTTCGGATTCTTAATCTGTCTGTGCTGACGAATGTCGCTTCGGAACTTTCAGAGTCTGCTCGGTCTTTTCTTAACGATAACGAGACGTCTTCCAACGGGCTTCTTCTCGCGCCGTTAACTTCCAATTCTGAAGAGATATCGCGTGGAGGACAAGAAAAGACGAGGTAATCGGAGCTGCTGTTGATGATGTTTTGAGCAGATATTCTGGCGTAAATGACTTTCACGTCGAGCCATCCTGCTGCTTGACCTGCAATCTGAGACGCCATAACGTGCCTCGATTTCCACGAAATTCACGTCCAGCTGCCTTTTCTAAGTCAAGAACAACAATCGGTTGGTACGGCTGCAGGGATAACTACAAACCCTACTCAATGTAGAACGCGGGCTACCTAATAAAAGAGGAAGCTCCGTTCAAAGTGAAATTGCAGCATCGACGGACTTCCTGGTAGACTACAGCAGATGACCTCAGCAGCTTGAAGCATAGAAACTGGTCGTAGAAAGCTGCTTTGGGAGTGAAGTGGAATAACTAGGAGGCGATTCTTCAGTTTCTTATACAAAACGCCCAGTTAGCAGCACATCTTGAGAACACGCGCGGTAGGTTTCCCCTCAAGCGCAGACGACTTATCCCCAATTGCAGGGGACAGCTACGTACAAGCACTGTTGACTTTCCCCAAGCGCAGTAACTTCATCCCAGCACAGTAGACTTTCCCCCAAACCCCCGTCAATGTTTCACAGGTTCGCCTCCGCCTATCCGCTTCAGCAGACCCAGCACCAAGGCAATCGAAACACGTGCGGGGGAACGGCAACCTTTTCCGTCGAAGTTCCGCGGACGTTCTGTGATGGTGAATTGTGATCCATTCTCCCCCTTTTTGCGAAAGCTGCTGCGAAAAAAGTTAGACGCGGTCGTTGTGCTTTGCGAAATTCTTGAGGCTTGAGCTGTGGAATTGTCAGAGGGGGGTTTCGCGAAACGTTGCCTCGAATCTCGCGGAAAACGCCAAGAACAAAAAGTTTCCGTCACTGCATGCAGTTGCCTGCCTGCGCCGTGCATCCAATCGACGTGAGTCAGCTGTGCATGCTTCGTGCGGATGCCCTGGCCTTAGGTCCACGAGCGAGGTACATTCCGCCTCTCAGGGAAACAATGCCCCGGTGGCGGGCCTAGCTCCGCTGATTGAGCCAGGAAGCTTGGCGCACATGTTGGGGTGTGGGCCCAGGTGCAATTCAATCAATTTCATCATTGTTAGGGTACACTAGAACTTAATACAGGACTACAGAAAGATCACAATCAACTTCCTACCTCTACCTGGCCAAACTTCATTCAGAGCCATTTCACAAACAGTTCATCACACCATTACATTTTTTAACGTATTCACTCTTGGAATCTATGCCAGCCTCAATATGGAAACAACATATTGAGATGAGACGCAAGTTTGCCAAATGGTTAGTGGATAGGATGCTTACAAATGAAAGCCCGCACAAACGTAAACCTCTTTGCGGCTTTGGCTACACTAAATCACGCCAAAGGAACAGACTCCTATCCTCAGTCGCAAGGCAGGTCCCCGGTTCACTGCAGTGCAGCCTATCTGACACTTCTGAAGAATGGCAGCGTAGTTTGCCTGCTGTTTCTCAATCTTGACCTCGTCCTATCCCCAAACGCGCTCCCAAGAATGCCACTTGCAAAATCAGCGTCAAGCCCTCCCACAGGCTGAGGCGAATCTACTTGGGCCGTGTTCACCTCACCCCGCTGCTGTCCGCTCGCACGTGTTGCTGCTCGGCTCCCTATCAGCCTCCTCCTGGCAGTTGCTGATGCTTGCCTATCCACTTGGAGGCGGCGGCGAGTCCGTCGAGGAGTCCTGGATCAAAGGAGGAGAAAAAGAGGTTCAGTCAATCGCATTCGCTTGTCTGGAGTGTCAACCCAGAAGGTAAGAAACGAATAATACTCAGAACGCTTGATCTATAGGAACTGAAATTCCTTCAATGGGGTGGGGGGGCTATGCGCGCAGCACCCACCTCCTCTCGGAACAAGCAGGGCAGAACCAGGGCTCCTGGCTAGAGGGCACGGCAGAGAGCGGTGGGTCAAGACAGAAGGTGTGTTTTTTAGGCGCCTCAAAAACTTACCTCCTCTCAGTGCAAGCGCGGCAGAACCAGGGTTCCTGGCTCGAGGGCACGGCAGGGAGTGGCGGGTCGAGGCAAAAGGTATAGTTTTGAGGCACCTCAAAACCGGAATACACCACTGGAACTTACCTCCTCTCAGAGCAAGCAGGGCAGAACCAGGGCTCCTGGCTAGAGGGCACAGCAGCGAGCGGCGGGTCGAGGCAGAAGGTGTGGTGCGCTCCCAGGTGGTTGCAGCCGTCGCACAGCAGCAGCAAGTCCTCCATTGTGCCCGACTGGCACACGCAGCACACCATGGTCTGGAGGGGAGGGAGGGGGAGGTTGGGAGGGAGCGATGGTTCATAGCAGAAGTTGCGCTCCCAGGTGGTTGCAGCCATCACACAGCAGCAGCAAATCCTCCATTGTGCCCGACTGGCACATGCAGCACACCATGGTCTGGAGGGGAGGGAGGGGGAGGTTGGGAGGGAGCGATGGTTCATAGCAGAAGTTGCGCTCCCAGGTGGTTGCAGGCGTCACACAGCAGCAGCAGATCCTCCATGGCGCCTGACTGGCACACACAGCACACCATGGTCTGGAGAGCAGGGGGAAGCGGGTGGGGGTGGAGGTGGGGGGGATTGTGGGAGGCGCAAAAGTCATTAACAATGGAGGTGTTGAGATGAATGGAGGTTCCTCAAAGATCATATAAACGGATAGCACAAGCAGATTGAAGAACGGAGAGGGAAGCGAAAAAACAAAAGAAGCAGACAAAAAGAAGAGAAAAGAGAAATCATTCTAGGAACTCTCGTGAAGGCGGGCTTACATCGAGTGGCGACTCATCAGTGGGGGCCCTTCTCTTGCGGATTGGCACCATCACAATACGCTCGTCCTCCCCATCCCCCTGAATATCACCCTCTTCATCCACAGGCGCAGCAGCAGCAGCAGCAGCATCAGGGAGACTGGTGCGCTTAGCAGCCTCGGCTGCTCTTCTGCTGGCTGTCTTGTTGCGCACTGTAATGAACTCAAAGGGCTCCTTACAAAGAGGACAGCCGGGAATGGCTGTGGCCTGGGAAGGGGGCGAAACAAGGCGCAGGGACACGTCACACAGGCATGGTGGAAACTGGAGACAATTAACTTTTGATTTACCGAGAAACGAAAAAAAAAAAAAAAAAAAAAAAAAAAGGGGGGTACGAGGACAGGGGAGAAGGGGCGGCTTGGAGAGGAGGAGAAAGAGGAGGCGAGGAAAGGAATAGAGCTACTTTCCGCACTCTCAGCCCACTTGCGGATGCAGCAGTAGCAGAGAGCATGCATGCAGGGCAGCAGGGGGCAGGGGAACGGGAAGACAGGAATAATGATACTCACCGCACTCTCAGCCCACTTGCGGATGCAGCTGTAGCAGAAGGCGTGCATGCAGGGCAGCACGCCGATCTGCGAGGCCGGAGTGTCCTCCTGGCAGATGGCACACGCACACCCCCCACTGGGACTCGCAAACGCTGCCCTGGGCGGCGTGCGAGCAACTACCGCCTTCTGGTTCCCATCAAACACCGCCTTGGTGGGAGTGCGAAAGGATGACTTTTGGTTCCTACTGCCGTCTAGCACTGCTCCGGGGGGTGTTCGAGGAGGTGCCTTCTGGTTTGTGTCAGGCACTGCTCTGGGGGGGGTGTGCGCAGAACCTTGCAGTTCACAGCTTGCAAGGGGAGGGAGAGGGCGGGAGGGAGCAGGGGCGTGGGTGGTGCGGGTGGGGACAGGGCCGGCAGCAGTGGCTGTAGCTGCGGGGACAGAGGAAGGAGCAGCAGGTATGGCGGTAAGACGATGAGCGGCGGGAGGGGCAGCATGTGATGCAGTGGCAAGCCGAAAGGGGTCACCAGAGCAAGAGGCCCTTATAGTTATCCTCCCAGGGGACAGGTGGCTTCTTGGGTGACTGCTCTGGTGGCTGCGAGGGTGATTGCTCTGTTGGCTTGGTCGAAGCAGCTGCTGCTGGTTCTGCTTGCTTCTAGGAGAGCGGCTGCTCCGTTGCTGGCCCCTCACGGGGGAGAGCCGACTGGCTTGCCTGGAACTAGACGCCGGCACAGAGGGTCGGGTAGATGATGGAGGAAAGTATCTGTGGATGGTGGCTCTGCTTCCTGAAGTTTCAGACCCCCCCACAGCTGCAGATACCCCTGCTACCCCTGCTGCCACACCACCTGCAACACCTGCTGCTGCATCCGCTTGTCCTGGTACCAACGATGGCACCTCTCTCATCCGCATCTGCTGCTGCTGAAGGTGCTCGTGCTGTTGCTGTTGCTGTTGCTGCTGCTGTTGGCTCACACCCCTACTCCCCTCTCGCAGGAGGGACAGTTCCGGTATCCTACCCTCTGCTTCTCTCACCTCTCCCACTCCCACCTCTGCTATTTTCAACGGTCTTCTCGGCTCCACCTTCCTTCCCAGAAACGCCTCCAACGTCCACACGCCCTTGCCACGTGTCAGCCCACCATTGGTCCCTTCGCCACGTGCCGGACTGCCAGGAGGCGCCTCGTCATCGGCCAACATGCCAGCTGTCGCTGCGTGACTAGGCGAGATGGGTTCTTGAGGCACGTCCCCTGAATGCACCCCTCCTACAGCACAGCCTTCTGCATCCTCTTCCTCGTCCTCTGCCTCATCACCGCCACCAACCGCATTCCATCTAACATAACCACCACCATTTCCTCTACCGGATCTTCTGCCATTTCCACCATCACCACCATGCCCACCAGTCTCAGCAGCAGCAGCAGTTCTTCTCTGCAACAGATCCCTCCTCCACGTTGCCTTGCGCAGTCTCTTCAATCTCTGCTCCCCTCCCCGTTCCCCTCCCCTCTCGCCCTCATCTCCCCCTCGGCCCACTGTCTCTTCAATCCCTCCCTCCTGCCCCATCTGCCCCTCACACTCCCTCCCCCCTTCTCGTCCTCCAAAATCCGCCTTCTCAACACTCGGTCGACCGTGCCATGTGCTTCGCCCCACACCTCCCTCACAAGCTCTCACGTGTGGCCCCTGGCTTCCATGCACGTGACTGTCTCTCACCCCATCAGCACCCCCTGTGCGTCCTCTCGCTGGCTCGCTTGCTGCCATGCCATCCCTCCCCATATTCTCAGGCAGACGCTGTGTGAACTCAATCTCATCCTCCTCCTCTTCCTCTTCCTCCTTCTCTTCTTCCTCCTCTTCTTCTTTCTCCTCTGCCCCCACCTCCCGTTCCTTACATTCCCCTTCATCCTCCCACAAGCCTCTCACCCTTCGCCCACTCCCCTCACCTCCCCTTTTACTACGTTTCCCCATCTGCAAGCCACAACTATCACTGTCCTTCTCACTGTCACTATCCCTGCCACTGTCGCTGTCTGAAAGCACAATCACATCACCACTGTCTAATCGCTCTTGCTGCAGCACCACTCCAACCCTGCCTCTCCCTCCTGCCCCTCTTCCCTCACCCGTTTGTGCCACCTCCTCGTTCCTCACACCCTCCACCTTCTCCTGCCCCACGTGCCCCAGTCTCACATCCCCTTGTATCACATATTCGTCCTCTTCCCTCACACCCTCTTCAGTCACACGTTCTCCCCTCACACCCTCTCGCACCACATCCTCTTCCACTTGTCTCACATCCCTTAGTTTCCCGCCGCCTCTCTGCCTACCGACCAGCAACCCCCCACCTGCGCCCTCCCTTCTCCATGCCATTTCAGCCAACTCACAAGCCACCTCCTGCTGCTCTCTCGGCCCATCCACCAGCACCCCCCGATCTTCCCCCTCTTCTCTTGGTCTCCAAAGAGACGCCAGCAGACTTGGCGCTTGCTGAAATGAGCTGTCATCCTCCTCCATATAAGCTTCTCCTCCCCAATTCTCAGCACCAGCGACAGCCGGTAGCTCCCTTTGCTCTCCACCTGTCCCCACTGGTTCTATCTCACGGTAGCCATCCTCTGGTGCTGAGCATTCACCTGGCTGAGACGAGTTCAAACGAGCCGCTTCATCAGGTAAATGCTCAGGAGACGATTCAGGAACACCTTCAGGTGAATTTTCAGGTAGAAGTTGCTGAGCGAGGTGCCTGTGCCTGCAGTCAAGTGGTTTGTGGCGAGAACCCCCCCCAATGTCAGGAGACAGCGAGATTCTATCTGTAAAGTCCTCTTCTTCCTCCTCCACACTTCCAGCATCTGTTGCTCTTCTCTCCCTCCCCTCTGGTTCCCTCCCTCCATAATCTGGTTCTCTGGTCTCCTTACCCTCTGGACCCCTCCCTTGCGCGTCCATCCCTTCTCTCCTCTCCTCCCGTCCCCCTTTTATCTCCTCTGCTGTTTTCACCTGAGAACTATCAAGAGCAACCTGAGAGCAAACAGGAGCAACCTGAGAACAATCAGGATCAACCTGAAAGCCACCAGGAGCAGGTTGCGAGGGCAACAGAGAGAGAGGAACAGGAGACCCCAAATGGATCGAAGGCCATATGCCGTCTTCCCCAACCCTGTCATACAGGCATTTAGATGGGGAGGAGGTTTGAGTGGGCGACCGGGAGGCCTTGGGGGAGGGCGGGGGGGGGGATGGGGGAGCTTGATGGGGAGACGAGGGAGCAGGCGGGGGCGTGGAGGGGTGGATTATCTCTCCTGAACGCACCTCGCTTGGCCTTTCAACTGCCGTTGCTTCTGCTACAGCTGCTACTGATGCTGGTGGTGCAACTGCTGCTGCTGCTGCTACTGGTGCTGCTGCTGCTACTGTTTCTGCTGCTGATACTGGTGCTGCTGCTGCTGCTACTGTTTCTGCTGCTGAAACTGGTGATGCTGCTTCTTCTGCTTGTGCTGCTGCCACCGGTACCTCTGCTGCTGCTGTTGGTGGTCCTGCAGCAGGCACCGCAGCTGCTCTTACTTGTGCTGCTCCCTGTCGTGTTGTCGCTGTTGCAGTAGCAACGCCGTGCCCTCTCACCTCATCGGCTAAAGCGGATGTTTCAATCCGCGTCACCACACCACCCTTACCCCCTCCATGCCCCTCTGAACACCCATCTGGGACATTTTCCTTACCCTGCACTCTCCTCCTCTTAAAGGGGCTGCTCTTAGTGAAGCGCCTCGCCTTTCCAGCCCCCTCACCTCGCCCAACCGGATCCTTGCCTCGGTCGTTTGCAAAGCCTGCCACGGACCCACTGTTTTCCCTCAGCCCGCTGCTTCCCGCACCACCACCCCACCCGCTCCCAACATCTTCCAAAACATTCTCTCTTGACGCGAGAACCCCGGGTTCTGCCTGTACCATCAAAAGCGGTTTATCTTCCCCCTGCATTATCCCTGCTTCATTCCACAGCCCTTCCTCTGCTGCGCCTGCCTTGCAGTCGTCCATTAAGGGAAGAGCCGCCGGTGCGACCAAGGGAAGAACAGAGGGTTCCTCTGGGGGAAGAGGAGGCGGGGGTGGGGGCCTTGGGATGGTTGATGGGTGGTGTGGTGATGGAGGAGCGACGGTGACTGGAAGGGTGACACGGGGAGGCGTATGGGCAGGCTGGGAAGGGGCAGGTGGTGGTGGTGGTGACGCAACGGACGGGAGCGCGTGCAGCAGCAGGTCATGTGACAGTGCAGGTGGTACTGGATGCGCAGACGATAAGGGGGGTGCTGGTGGTAAGGGGGGTGCGGTGGGTGAGGGAAAGAGACATGGAGGGCCCACTGCATCGCCCCTGGGGGAAGGAGTGAGGGAAGGGAAGGGAAGGGAAGGGAAGGGAAGGGAAGGGAAGGGAAGGGAAGGGAAGGGAAGGGAAGGGAAGGGAAGGGAAGGGAATTGAAGAGAAGGGAAGGGCAGGGAAGGGAAGGGAAGAGAAAAGAAGAGAAGGTGATTATGTGATAATAATTACAGAATGAGGTGTACAACGAATTCTGGTGTATTAATGAGGTGTGTGTATTAATTCAGGTGAGTAAAAACGACTCAGCTGCAAAAAGTGCAGTGAATGTGCCCTACCAAAGTCCTCCAAATGCAAACTAAAAAAAACTCTGAAGGGGCAGAATATACAAAAGTCAGGCATAACAAGCCTCGGGGGTACATTAAGCGTAACTAGGATGCAGCACGTACGGGACAAGATGCATGCACACCAAACATGCAGCACGTACGGGAGGAGGGCGTAAGGAGCTTCAGGAACTCGGCGCGAGTACAGCAGACAGTCCTCGAGCCACCGGTGGTTAACCACCCACACTGCGCCCTCGCTGTCCCCCCTGTGCCTCCATGCCACGACCTCGTTACTATCACAATCGCACTGGTTGCTGTCAGCATGGCAGCGCATGGCATGGAGAGCTGCGTTGCTGCGGACTGCCAGGTCGTACTTGGGCCCTTCAAACCGATTGCACACCTGCAGGCAGGGAGGAGCAGCGGGATGAGAGATGCAGAGTCACAAAAGGCTGAAATCATGTAGGGAGCGTGAAATGACTTTCCAACACGACTTGACCTGAAGGCTGGGGCATGACGTACCAGGTGTGTGTTGAGAAGTGGGGAGAATTCTCGTGTGAACCGCGCTCCTGAGGCTTGAATCAGGAGCTTCACAGACGATCGCGCAAGTCTTTCGTACCCTGTTAGACTCACCACCACCTCCTCCATTCCCGCCTCCCACTTCTCCTCCTCCTCCTCTTCATCCCTTTCCTCTTCCTCTTCTTCTTCCTCATCCTCCTCCCCCTGCCGCTGGTCTTCCTGCTCTTCCGAATCCAACACAAACCTCCAGGCCCTCCTCTTAACTCTCATTCCGCGTTTCCCTATACCACCTACTGCGTCCAGACACAACGCATTCCTCGTTGCCACCTCCCTCAGTCTCTTCACCCCAACGCCCTCCATTCCCATCGCCTGCTCCCTCATCCCAATCTCCTCTCTCCCTCCCGCCCCACCAAGCTTCTCTTCGAGCATCTGAGCTTCCTCTCTCCAGTCATCATCACACACATCACCTCCCACCCTTCTCCTTTCCCTCACGGAATCCACCATATCAACGACTCTTCGATCTGCTTGCCTTCCCGCCTCATCGCTCCCCTCCCCGTGCCCCAGCTCCTCTGCCAACCTCCCACCCTCCCTCATCTTCTCCTCACTAGCGTCGCTGCTTCTACCTTCTCCCCTTGTGACCTGAGATCCCCCTTCTGATGCTCCTCCCGCTACCTCTTCTCCCTCTGCCTCTCCTCTCCTCGCAGCACGAACCGTCTGCTTGGCCTCGCTACTGCCACAACCAGGTATAATCACGCTGACAAGGCACTTAGGGCTTGCAGCTAGGAAAAACTGGTCACCATGAGACAGGCAGACGGAGACGCCCTTAGCCAGCACCAACACTGACGAGGAATTTCTCCTGACGCGGCCAGTACGTGATAGTGAGCTCTCCCCTGCTGCTCCAGTTCCCGGTCCTGATACCACTCCTACTGCTTCTACTGATCCTACCTTCCCTGCTGTTGCTGATGCACCTGCTGCTGTTTCCGTAGCTCTCGGCAGAAGAGAGTCCGGCCTGCGGCATTTCTTGAAACAAATGCGGTTGACTCCGAGACACGTCATCCTCGCTGTCACAGCTGGAAATTGCTGCTTATCTTGATCGCCAGGGAAAGCTACCGCAGCAGCAGCAGCAGCAGCAACAGCAGTGCAGTGATCGCCACGGGTGGGAAGGTGGTCTGAACCTGGACTGGCGATGCGAATCTCCGCTTGCCTCCGACTGCAGCAGACAATAGATTTCGGATCAATGGGAAACGTCGCTCGACCTAGCATCGTGACAGCGTCGCGTATTTCCTGCCAGAAAACCCGGGTGAAAATCGGCGGAGGTGAGATGAGCAAATCATATTATTACATCGTTGGATGATAGCGACCCGAAGTGAATAAGGGTCAGGGAGTCTTGAAACCTTACAGCGGAAAACAACAATCCGTTATTCCTGAAAGAGAAACTCCAACTAACCTTGCGCTCGCCATTGGGAAACTGTAAAATGAGGTACGGAGGACGCTGTGCCATAGGAGCCGCCATAAGATTAATCAATCTGACACGCTGAAGTCACTGCTGAGAAATCATAAATAATGAAAGAATGGCTACTCAACTTTGAATAGAAACGCAAACAGAAAAGTAGTCGCGATGTGCGCGGGACCATCTGGCCTACAGATGCTAGGTCTAAATCATCGCGTCAGATGTACGACTGACAAAACCAATACTGGGCCATGGCGTCAGTGTCACAATCCAGGTGATGGTCCGAACTTCGTTGACAAAGTTCGCTTTTAATCCGGTGCCTCACGTTTTTGCTCGGTCAGAATCGTTCGAAAGCGATAACTCGGAAATATCGTGGTTTGCGTCAGCAACCAAAGTGACACTGGGATAGTGGTGGAATTGCCGCGTTGCGTGAATGGGATGGGGTCGTATGATCCTACGATCGTGATGGATCGTACCGTATGGATGGCGTGATGGCATGAAGTTCAGACACTGGTGTTGCCGAGGAGGGTGGTGAGCACAACAAACAACCCGACACGAGAACCTACACTTCCGCGCGCCAGATTCTGTGCGCGCAGAACGGAGCTCAAGTGGAGCAACCAATTGGCAGCTCAAAGGGCGTATCTTTGGTTCCGGTCATGAGCACTGTTCATTCAAGTGTTTGGGTCGTACTCATTTAGCGCATGACCCAAACTGGACTCTGGAAGCGCCCGCGGTCCGAACTTCGGGTCATCCAGCAAACTGCATGCGACTGGGGTGTTCAATGTGTTCCCTACCAATCAGATTGAGCTGCGACCCCAGGTTGGGTCTCCCTCTTAAAACCAGGGTGCACATTCAACGCGGTTCGGCTTGAGATGTTGGGAAGGGGGTTTGGAGAAAAACAGTGATTGGCTCACGAGGGGCGACAAAAAAATGATTCCGCTAGAGCTTCGGGCATTTCGTAGGTGGCGGGAGGGGGTGAAATGGCGGGAGTGGGTGAAACCGAATGGCGGGAGGGATGAAACAGATTGGCGGGAGGGGGGGGAAACGAAATTGCGGGGGAGGGGGGAAACAAAATTGCGGGGGAGGGGGGAAACGAATTTCGACGGGGAGGGGGAAATGAAATTGCGGGGGCGTGGGGAAACGAAATTGCGGGGGAGGGGGGAAACGAATTTCGACTTGAAGGGGTTGAAAGCACACCTCGTAACCCACTCAGTCAAGGGATAACCTTTGATGCACATTCAGCTGAATGTGCACCCCGGTTTTAAGACGGACGTTTTCTTTCGACTCACGCCCGTCAATGTCCCATATACTGTCAGAATGTGTAATTTCTCTAGTCTGCAGTGGGGTACTCTATAGTGAGTACAGCCCTGTTAGGGTTTGCTATATGTACTCAACTGCCTGCTAGTGAAACCCCTCTTCTCTGTTTCATTCCTTCCTTCTCTATTCTGACATGGTATTCTGAGCAGGTTCCCTCGTGGGAACGTTTTTTTTTTTTTTTAGGGCCCACAACGATCATTTTTTTTCCTGCCCTGCTCGAAGCGCGCTTCACGCCTGCCTCACCTGCGCCGTCGCGCGCCCTGCCCTAGAGCCGCCCGTCGCGGCCCTGCCCTAACGGCCCGTCGCGGCCCTGCCCTAACGGCCCGTCGCAGCCCCCTGCCTTCTCGGCCCGTCGCGGCCCCCTGCCTCCTCGGCCTGTCGCGGCCCTGCCCTGCCGCCACCCGCGGCCTCTGCCCTGCCGCTGCTCGTCGCGGCCCTGCCCTAACGGCCCGTCGCGGCGCCCCGGGGGCCCGCGCGTCGCCCCCTCCCGTCGCCCGTCGTGGCGCCCTCGGGGGCCCGCGCGCGGCCCCCTCCCGTCGCCCGTCGTGGCGCCCTCGGGGGCCCGCGCGCGGCCCGCCTCCCGTCGCCCGTCGTGGCGCCCTCAGGGGCTCGCGCGCGCCCTCCCCCCCCTCCCCCTCCCGTCGCCCGTTGTAGCGCCCTCGGGGGCCCGCGCGACCCCCCCCCCCCCTTCCGTCGCCCGTCGAGGCGCCCTCGGGGGCCCGCGCGCTCCCCCCCCCCCTGCCGCCCGCGAGCCGCCCCTGCAGCCCGCGAGCCGCCCCTGCCGCCTCCTATCCTCGTGCACCTGTGGGGTGGCGGGTATGGGGGTGGCGGGTGTGTGAGTCGTCCCCTGCTCCTCCTCCTCCTCCGTCTCCCACTGCTGCAGCTGCCGCTGAGGGGGGTGGATGTGTGGGAGCCGAGGGAGTGGCGCTAGGAGGGTGATACGGGATTGGAGCTAGGGGTGCAGCAGGGGGTGTGTGAAAGGGGGGTGGGACAGTTGGGGGAGGTTGAAGGGGGGTGGTCGCCGTGAAGCCAACAGCTCCAGTCGCCCGTGAGACCGTTGCGCCAGTCGCCCGTGAGCCCATCGCTCCAGTTGCCCGTGAGCCCGTTGCTCCAGTCGCCCGTGGGTCCGTTGCTCCTGCCGCTCAGAGTTAGCCGCGGAGCTAGTTACTCTAGTTGCTCGTGTGCCAGTTGCTCCAGTTGCCAGTGTGCCAGTTGCTCCAGTTGCCCGTGTGCCAGTTGCTCCAGTTGCGCCGTGTGCCAGCAGCTTCAGCTGCCGCCCACTACCTCCTCTCCTCTCATAGTCCCTCCTCCTCCACACTTGCCCTCTGTGATAGCTTCTAGCTTTGCTTATATTTGTGAACTATAAACTGCTGCTTGTTGTGCTGATCATACCCCACTTTGACTATGGGGGTGTGTGAGAATGTGTAATTTCTCTAGTCTGCGGTGGGGTATTCTATAGTGAGTACAGCCCTGTTAGGTTTTGCTATATGTACTCAACTGCCTGCTAGTGAAACCCCTCTTCTCGGTTTCATTCCTTCCTTCTCTATTCTGACATATACACCAATAACGTGTAACACAATCCAGTACAACTGACGTGACCATGCTCACCGATACAAGCCCCGACACCACACCATCTCTCGCTCTCCCACGCTCCGGACGCCATGTTTACAAGCACAAGCGGCACCACAGCAAGGCGCCTTTCTCCCACCGCGGTGCTAACATAGTGGGCGCCTTGAGAGCACTTTTCAGCTCTAGATGGCCGCATGCATCTTTCATCGTTGCTAATTGGGTTGCCATAAACCATGCTCACAGCACATATGCTCATACTTTGTGTTGCCTTACACCTGTGGCATGAGTACCTTCTCAACTCGTGGCAGCGTGTAGTTTCTCTAGCCACTATAGAGTGGATATACACACTCCTTCCTATGGCACAGACCGTGGATCAGGAGCGCGTGCTCCGTGAAACCGAGCGCCACAAGAGTCGGAAACGGACTTGCCATGCACGGGTCGCAGAATGGGCCGAGGAGATCCGGGCGATGTTTGACGAGGAGTTCGAAGATACCTTCCGCATTACGCGTGAAGTCTTCGACATCATTGCAGACAAAATGGCGTTTCCCATGTCTCGCTTTGTCGAAATGAATGAGATTCCATTGTTGCTTTGCTGTCTCATCCCGATTAAATACTTTGCAAGTGCTATGACGTATCACGACATGAGCATAATGTTTGGGCTGCATAGAGGACTCATCCACCGCCTGGTAGATGCCTTCTTGGTGTGGTTCCCCCGCAAGTTCAAGCGCGACTGGGTGCAGTTCCCACCGGAGGAAATGAGAGAGGAGATGGCACTCGACCTCCGCGCAATCAAAGGAGTGCCCAATGTCATCGGTGCGATTGACGGGACACATATTCAGTTAAAGGGCATGGAGGCCCACCGTGGTGACTATTTCAACCGGAAGTCGGTCTATAGCGTACAACTTCAAGTTGCGTGTGATTCAAAGGGTGTCATATGGGATTACATGGTTGGCAATCCTGGCTCAATGCATGATCAAGGCGTGTTCTCGACATCAGATCTTCATGGCAGGCTAGAGAGTGGGGAAATCGCCCCCTATCAGCTTGTGGGGGATGCGACCTACCCTCTGAAGTCCTACATGCTCACCCCCCTTCACGCTCCACAACGACGACTGATGAAGAAGTGGGAGCAGACGTACAACTACGTCCAGTCTGCTACGCGCATGGTGGTCGATCGCACGATTGGCGCACTGAAGGGACACTGGAGGCTCTTCGCGCGCAGGCACGAGAGCAAGCTCTGGCGCGTGTGTGCAGGGACGGT